TGCCGAGAGCTGAAGTAATGTGTTACGTGTTACAGTGGTGCTCGCGGCGGGAGATGACTAGGGACAGGCAGTGGAGACGCATGCCGCGCCACCGCCTGCGTCGTAGGCTTTATAACGGACCTGGGACTGGAGGTGTCTCCCAAGAAGACGGAAAACATTTTTCCATAACGGGAGGGGCGGAGTGTCGCCTTTCTTCTGGATCCTAATTGGAACTGTTCGCGTTAGGCTGACCCCCACGATCAGATATCTGCTCATTCTCGACGGCCGATGGGAGTCCAGTGAGCACTTTACACCAGAGTAGGCAGAATAGCGAACGCGTTTGCCTGTCTGATGTCCAACCTGGGTGATCCGAGTGCTTCTGTATGTAAAATGTACACGAGCGCCGTAATGTCTTGCATTTTATATGCCCCAGTGTAGACGGGCGAGACGGAGGGCAACTCATAAGGCGCGGCCTGTACAATGTACAGAAGAAGCTTGCCTTCCGTCTGACTCGCGCGTACAGAAGGTATCTCTCGCTGCGGCCACGGTTCTCGCGGTAGTACTGCCTGCTGACTTAGCGGCTAGCACCCGGGCGGGTAGTTATTCCCGCATCTGCGATAAAAGAGCGAGGGGTCGTCCCGGTACCGAAAGTCGGATACCATTAAACAACAGGAGAAGCATCGTGCATACGGCCGATGGATACTCCAACTAGCGGACCCTCAGAGAGTACGATACCTAGACGACCGAGGCCCTCGTGTCCTGCCTACAAGAGTGGGCCGACAGGGCGTGGAGCGGATTGTCCTATAAGATGATGCAGGTACTCACCGGAGTACTGCACACGGGTATTTCGATAAGTATCTGTGTCGTATAGGGAAGGAGCGTACAGTATAGTGCCACCACAGTGCAGTCGACCAGGATTCGGTGCAACACACCCTGCTATCTTCGATGGGGACAACGAGCGCCGAGAATTGATCGCAGAGGTTGACGAGAACCTTTTGCTCCCGAGTGTGGTGTTGCAGGACGAGAAGTCGTGGATGGAGGTGGCTACCTTCTGCGAGAAAGTGATGTCGCGGAGGAGGTCACCGAGCGCCTGCGCGATAAAGGGGCGAGGGTCGGCGCGCACGAGGACGTGCTCGCCAGCGGGCAACGTACTTGCGATGGGCAATGGGACTTAGCAGGGGCCGGATGCCTGCTGAAGAAACCTCTTGGCATGGAGGAGATGGGGGAGGAGCCACAAGTCTCCCCCTTGCCTTGCCCTATCATGATGGGTAGAGGTCACCCCGTGAGTCTCCACTCATAGAGCAGCCCTCATTCCTCCCGAGATCATACCATTGCAAGTATGGCAACAGTGCACTCCCAGGAGAGCCACCACTCGCCTACGAAGGGGCGTTGGTGTTTCCCCCTCTCATGGTAGAAGACAGAACTCCGCCCTCTGCGGCCCTGAGTCCTTGCGACCAGGACCCTTCTCGGGACTTTAGACGGGGTGCGCGGGGGGGGGGG